TGATCCTATAAATTGCCATAAAGTAACTTCAAAAAAGGTCGGAGACAGACTATTATGTTGCTAAAAACAGTATATTTATAAATTTTTATGATCTTTCCTGAATATTCTGAAAAATCGGGAGAATTTGATAAAAATCGGGAGACCGGGAGATTGCATGAATTTTCGGGGGACTCCCGGTAAAATCGGGAGAGTTGGAATGTCTGAATGATAGTTTGAGATATAAATACCAGAACAAAGAGGCAACATATAAATGCATTTACATAACAATAAAAGTCTTCAAGTTGACCTTCAAAAGCCGCCATTTTGCAATGCGGTCGTGAATTCGGTACCAGCCTCCTGCTTGAGATGATTTGCTAAAATGTAAAAATCCCCCACCTCCTGGGGCAAGAAAAAGTTTCAAATCCCCATCTAATCCTCATCAAGCCCACTTGTATCTCCGGGGTGGGGGGGGGGGGGTGGGGGTTCCCAGTGACAAATGCATCAGAAAATTTGGTTTGCGAGAAAATGTTACGCTCCTGTACCTCTGTCAAGGGTCATATGTGTAATCTGCCCTGGATTCCAGAGCCTTTGACAGTAAATAATAACTTGATTCTGTTTTGTGATTTGCGCGGTTTAATCAAAGAATCTCCCCATTGAACCAGAGCCTTCGCGACGTTTCGATTGATTATTTACTGTCGAAGGCTCTGGAATCCAGGGTATGTGTAACCATATATCATATGTACCTGGACAAAATTAGCATTGATGTAATCGGAATTGTCATCATCAGTTGATGGAAGCGTGACTCTGGAGTAATCAACTAAAATCATATAAAAAGAATATATTTATAGTATCTTATAGCTAATATAAATGCAAACTTAGGAGAATTTATATTTCATCATTTTGTTTTTGGATCGGAAATCGATATCATAGTTCAAAATCTGTTGAGGTGCATAAATATGTAATAATCTCACATGGTAAAATATCTTTGAATCTGTTCTTGGCTCTGTTAACAGGACATTCTCCGGCTTTCGTCGCGTAGGCAGTGTTTCCTTTCGCTTTATACTTGAACGATGTCTGTCTGAGCGCCTGAATACATGAGAAATCGTAGAGTTTAAAACAGTGCATGTTGATATTGGAGCTGTACTGAGCTAATACGTCATTCTAGAAAACATCCATATTAACCTCCCTCACAGAGGAAATTGGAAGTAATAACCCCTATCCCCTTTAGACATCCTAATAGTCACTTATACTATTATCAGACCCATCCGGACAGCAGAAATTAATCCTTTGTGGGGGCAATGTGGATCTAATTTTCTGACCCAATCTTGTAAATGCTTCAATTCCAACACAATTTATATTAATTTTCCTTACATTTGTTTTCAACGTGTTAAAATCAGATACCTAATCATGTAAATTTTACTAGATTTCAAGCACTGTGGTGTAACGCAACTTCCTGATTTTTTCCTCAAAGAAGTTGGCAGGGGTCAGGGTGGGGGAAGAAAAAAACTTTTCGAACGATATTCATTAATTAAAAAAGGGCTTCAAAAAAACTTTCCGGACTATGACAAGTAAAAAATAAAGTCACAAAAATTTTTCCCCATCGATGTCTGCTAAAAAAAGGGTCCAAATTTCATAAATTCCTGCTTTTGGGGGCCACCTATTTAAAATTTTCTGGCCCTCTGTAACTGACACTCGAGCCAATTTGCCCAATGCACTAGCAAAAAATTTATGGTCATTTTTGCTACTAGGGCCCCCGTCTCTACACCCAGACACCCGCCAGTTATGCCACTGATTCAAGCAACCCCTAGCATTAAATTGGTTGGGGTTTTCTCAAAATACTATATGCAATATTGCATATATAAGTACTGTATATAACAAAGCTTTCTATCCATAAAGCTTGGATCATCATAATTTGCTGAACATGTGCATCATTTACATTCTTACGGGTAATTCCATGGTAATTGCAGCTATGGGTGACCAGATTTCATTGACAATTTTAATTTTGTAAGGAAGATATATACTGTACATATTTGTAACATATTTGTTCGATAATTACGTCATTTGGCCTGGGAGCCTCGCTCTCATGAATCGTGAGCCAATCATCTTGCATAATTTGCTAATGAGAGCGAGGCTCCAAGACCAAAAAGTATGTGTGATGTAATTATCGAAAGGGTGTATTCAACTAGCTTGCAAAGGCCTCATAATAATTTTAATCTAAATAATCTTAGATACAGACCTTTGGCTACCATACATATTTTTAATATTCCTATATAACACACGATAAGCTATATTCTATAAGAATACTAGCACATATTAATGCACATACGAATCCTAAATATTCGCTGAATGGAAACCAATAATATGACATATTATTCCAAGATATATACAGCAACACAAGTCAATTTATACCAAAATATAGCAAAATTTAAAACCTTTATACCTGAAATTCTCGGGCAAACCCCGATTCCCCATTTTGATCTAATTCTTGAAGGGCATTAATTCTTTTCTCAAATTGCTTGAAGGCAGTTTCCATCGTGGCAATTTCGTGCTAAATCCTTGCCCAGATTATGGCAGCTTTTCAAAACGAGACATTACGAAAGCGAAATATACCCGTCTCTAGTGTTCTCCTCGAAGAACAGACATAATTCTGTCAGGCTTAGCTCTCTAAATGGTCAAAATATAATGCCATTTTATTTATTTGCCATAATACTCGAGCAGGAAATCAACATTTTATGTTTTGGTATTTGGTATTTGGCTAATTAAGTTTATTAACTGGATAATTGAGACATTTATTATTCATAATAATAATTATGCGCATAAATTTCTGGAACGTTCGGAAATGTTTATAAATAGTGCTCGGGATTGATCGGTGGGATGAAAGCTTTTAGAGGGATGGGATGCTTTTTTTATATTGTATTTAATAACAAATATAAAACATTTTCCGTGTTGATATCACTGATTAGTACAGATCATTAAATTTTTAATTAAATTTTTAATTTAATTTATAAACTTTGCCAATGAAACAGTACATTACATAACAGGACAAAAACAAGCGTACATAATGAAGTACAGTGCATGACCACGGCTGGGTGACCGCAACAGCGAATAGCCAATTACTGCGGGCCCGAATCAGTGGTTGATTAGCCTGTGTAGCGGGCAGTTTTAAGGGTTGGGGCCCAACCATAGAAATACTAGATATCTATTATTTCTATGGGCCCAACCCTTAAAACCGCCCGCTTCAACACGAGTAAAGATTGGGAAAACGAGAAATTGTGTGGAAACACGGCGCCTGAGCCCGAAGGGCCGCAGTGGCGGAAATTCACTTTTTCCGGTGAGGGGGCGAAGCCTTCCAAATTTCATTTCACTCGAAAAGGCTGTTTTTAGCCCTTTTATAGGTCAAAATTTCCGAAAAATCGTCATTTTCCACAAAGGTGGGAGGGGGGCGGGGGCGGCCGCCCCCACCGAGATTTCCGCCACTGGAAGGGCGGAGTGCTTTCACACAATTTCGAGTTTTCCCAATCTTCACAAGTGTTGATAGAATTGTATATCAATACGGAAAAAAGTTTTATATTTGTTTTATAATATAGCACAAAGAAATATAAAGAAAGAAATTTTCCGACGGCTCTTAGCCAATCAGCGTTCAGAATTACACTGAAGAAATAGGTACGCATACTTGATATCTCAACATGTGAATACAAAGTTTGTTCCAATATATACTAAGTATGAGAGATCTGAAATTATCTTCAAAATATTGCTACGATGTACTAACATCTTTTCAGATATATTGCATGAGTTAGTCTGAACAAATTATTTGTAAGTTTATATATACTGTAATGTTTTTTTTTATATTTTATATTTTGTAACTAATGTATATGTAGGTATTCAATGTACTAATATTGGTATTTCCGTATTTGTTTGAATAAAGTTTCTATATAACGACTTTCGTTTTTTCAATTATTGCAATAACTTGGAATATTACTCATTTTGGCAATTTATTATTGACCAGACATGATATGAAGAGTGTAAGTCAGTATAAGTGTCAATAAGACACTGTTATAAGTGCTGTGGTGGCACTGTATCGGCTCCATTTTCATATTAACATATTAAGTGCATATTTTCGGAGCATATGAAAATGTCGGCCCGTACTGGCAAACCATCGTCGACGGACATTAATTCCCAGCCATTAGACCGCCCACGTTTTAACCAAATAAATTCCATCTATAACAAGGCGCCCTCATAACTCCGCCAATGAAATCACTCGCGCAATCCAAGAACCGACCAGACGCGCACTCGTCGAACACAGCAACGGCAACGCAAAGAAATGCGCGATTGAACTAATCAGTACATTCAACGATTTCCTAATGATGAAAAAACATCCAAATAAACACATACATGTCTCACACAGAATTTTATTTCAAAATACCTAATACAAAAATTCATAGGCACTCTTTTGATTGATCTACTAAACTTGTACCATCCATTTGATTCAGTCATTCTACCCTAGGATTATAACATCTATTTAACCCACACACACTTTAAATGGGGTGAATTCCCCCTCCGTTAGGGGAGATTATACCTCCCCCTCCTCCTGCAGATTGCTGTTGCACCGAGCACCTCAGGGTTATATAGGCATGTTTAGAGCTGTCCGAGTAGGCATTACTGGCAAATCGAAAATCGCGTCCTTGCACTTGTTCATGAGTATCTCGCAGGAGCAGGCCGTAGTTTGAGCCATATTTCCAATCCTGCGCTTGCTGTGTGACATCAAGTGTGTACCATATTCCGCCTTTAAGAGAAAAAGAAAAATAGTTAAAAACATTGATTCAGTAAATTTAATCATGGCTTGTGGCTTTGATAATCAGGGTTGTAAAAATGAGAGCTGGTATTATTTGTCTATATTATTTTCACTGGGATTTGGGTTACAGGTAATGGGTATATATTGGGTCTGGAATTTGGCAAATCCGTTTGCGTCGGGTGACTGGGATTCGAAATTCATTTTGATCCAGTTCTAGAATTGACAAGACTGTTTGTGTCAAATGTCACAAAGCCCGTCCTTTGGATTGGATTGGATTACTCAGTGACACTTTGTGCTGCTAGTGCCCCTTTTTTATATTATGTTGTTGTTGTTGTTGACTTTGTTGTTTTTTTGTTGTGATGCACTATTTAGTGTTTAACTCTTAATTTGTATACAATATTTCTATGTATTTTACAACTCACGCGGGGAACCCGTTATTGGCGCTTTGGCTCCGTGGGTGCGCCCTTCCTGTTTTTGGGTAAATAAAATAAATAAATAAATAAATCCAGTCCTAGAAATTTGATCCAGTCCTAGAATTTTGATCCGAACCACGGAAGGTATGCAGTACCAGCTGAAAACTCTTCAATTTGTTGATGTATGTTGATAAGTTGTTTCACTAAGTAGTACAAACCTGGTGTAGGTGTCACCTTGGTAGAATAAAGCGCAACAGAATTTGCGTCCGTGCCCAAATTCAACCATTGGCTGTCCCAGTTGGCAAAATTGTTTCGTTTCGTGCTCGTTGCTTGCGATTCAATCCATGATTTGAGTACAGTGTGCGCTGTTATATACCTTGTTACGGCTGGCACTTGACTTTCCGACATAAAGCTCGCCTTGTGAGCGTACACGAACTAAATATGCAAGGTTGCTTCTAAAGGCAAATTGCAATCTCTAGCGTATGTAGGGATACTCTGGAATTTCATTAAGCTTCTTTTCAAAGGGTATCCAGGATGCGTTCCAACGATGAGATATGGAAGATAGTTGAAATTCGTGGAGCCTCGTTCCAAAGTTACATCTTCGGTGACTTTGAGCGTGTAGGTTTTTTCTGTAGTCTGACCGGAAATTGTGAGGCAAGCAAGTGAGACGAGGAACAGTTGTAGTATGATATGCATCTTGTCTGGAATAAAAGACAGGTTACTATTAAGCAAATTAGATTATTAATATTATAGTCAAAACTTATTGAAGGAACTTAAAAACAAAGCCAACTTAGATGCTTGAGTAAATGTTACTCTGCATGAGTGTATATCCACACCGGGCAGGCTTGAAAAATATGCCTGGTCACGGTGGGAATCGAACCTACGACCTTTGGATTACTAGCCCAATGCTCTGCCAACTGAGCTACGCGGTCAGGTGGTTCGAGTATGTGATATTTCGGAACTGAGTCTATAGCTCCTTCGATATCAGTGTAATCAAAGCTAACTTAGCCTGGTTTTCTGTGGTAGATTCTAAGTTTTGCACAAGCCACACGGGCAAGCTCTAAAACTGCATGGACATAGGCCTACTCTTGTCTAATATAAACGTCATGCAGTTAAACGTACCATCAATAACTTTGCTCTTTTCCTCAATGTACCTTGTCCGACTTTACACTGTTTCTGCAACCGTATATGAACGCTCTGCAACCGAGGCGGATTTTTTATAGGAAAGCGTCGGGCCATTCGAACGTCATAACTCGTCGAGTGTTTTCGAAACTGCAGCCAAAATGCGTCATTCGTGGCCGTGGGAAATAGGTGATGGAAGCAACACAATAGAAACCTTTAGCTTGACGTTTACGGCAAACGTCAAACAGCGTGTTTGACGTTTGATATTACAACTCTATTACAACAGCTTTTACACCAGCTTTGAAATATATTAAACAACTACTAAACTTGTGCTCTTCACTTCTGCAGCAATGATTTAAGAAAGCAAATTAACCGCTGGCATGTATTCACCGAAGCAGTAATTAAGACTTGGCGTTTGAAGTTGACGTATAAATTTTATGCTTGAACTCGGCTACGTCTACGAGGGTTTGCAGTCGTTAAAGCATGAAATTTATACGCCAAAGGTAAACTTCAAACGCTAAATCTTAATTTACTGCTTTGGTGAATACATGACTAGAGTTAATTTGTTTTCTTGAATCATTGTTAAATACCAGAAGTTTAATAATTGTTTATAAATATATTTCAAAACTGATGTACTGAAAGCTGTCATAATAGAGTTGTAAAACTGTTAAGGCTGATTTCCACTGTTGCGTTTTTCATACGTACGTATACGCACGTAAAACTTTAAATCCGTTTAAATGTTACTTATGAAATAGCCAAATAAATAAAGCAACAGAATTTAGTGTTCCACAAGTTTTAGTATGCATTTGTTAACTTATTTGTAAAATATTTAAAAAATAGAAGGATTCAAAGTTTTACGTGCGTGTACGTGCGTACGAAAAACGCAACACTGGAAATCAGCCTTTAGCGGTTTGACGTTTGCCGTAAACGTCAAGCTAAAGAGGTCTCTAATTATTATTCAAAAACTCATTAATAATTCATGAAGCAATTATCCAATCTTGAGTAAGCAATTATCCAATCTTTAGTCACGTGCATACGTCTTTATACCAGCTAAAGAACACTTTAACAAAAGACCATTGTTATGCAAACTATATAAAGATTTTTATATAAAGATTTTTATATATAGATTTTTCATATTCAGATTTGACATATTATGCAAACGTTTTTGAAGCCATTTAAAAAACTCGCAAGTCGTGTTTTATTAGGTCTAAAGCCATGCGCTCGTGCTGCGCGCTGATCGTGGCTTTAAACCTAATAAAACACGACCTGCGAGTTTTTTAAATAATACATCACAAACAGAACTTGTAAAGCTGACAACACAAAAGTCAAATAATAAAATCGATTCAAGCCTGTTTTTCCGCTCTCAAGATGCCTAACGTATTTAATGATTTCCGCTGTCCTCGCGAAGGCAAAAGTATTGATTATTTTCATTTTATTTTCTGATAACTTCGATGTGTCTGTTCCGAATTCCATTCTCCAATCTCCGGCACAACAAGAGTTGAAGACCAAAGCTATGCCTATGGAAATTCTTATTCTCATACAAAGGCTGGACTTACTCTACGCAAGATCGAGAATCTTTAAGTATGGCCTAACCAAATTGTAAATAATAACCAACATATATAAACTGCATGAAATCTTCATTAGCTAGCTACCAGATAAATCGAGCTAATGATTAGACTTTTTGAACTTCCTGAAATGAATACAAACCGGCTTATAACATGTAAATATTAATTATTACAGGTTAATCTTAGACTCTTAAAACATTTTATTTGTAATCAGCATAATTCCACTATCCGTGAAAGAAGATCTCGAGGCCTGACTATCTAGAACTTTAGACAACGTCTAACTACGTCTTACTGTAATACGTCTTTATTATGAGGTTTGGACAGTAGTAGAGAGGTAATTACTCGTTGTAACCTTGAATGGTCTTTGCCTGTGTAGGTAGGATTGACAGGGGTGCAAATACCTCAAAAATACACCAACGCCCGTATTCTAAAAGCACACTCACACTCAATGAGTGGAGATTCAATCTGAGCTTCCCTCGAGTGTCATTGCTGTTTTTGAATAGCTGGAGGGCTAGTGTCGTACCTTACAATGTGAATGCTCACCCTCCAGCTATTCAAAAACAGCATTGACACTCGAGAGAAGCTCACATTGAAGTTGAACCTCCACTCATTGAGTGTGAGTGAGCTTTTAGAATACGGGCGTAAGAGAATCTCGAAGCAAAGGCCCTTCCTGCAGGGGAAGTTAGTGGTGGACCTCCCAAAGAAGAGTCTAGCTTCGCTTGAAACGTCGCAGTTCTCTTTGTATTTTCAGACTGACTTCCCTCGATGAAGGACGCTTCACTCTTTGTATTCCTGTGTCAATTACATGCATCCCTCCTTAATCCGAAGCTTTGTTTGATTGAGGTACACCTTTCCCACTATGATATATTCTTTTTATTTTCCTCCAAGTTAAGCAGCTATTTTATTGAGGTTTGATAAATAGAAAATCATAATTTTTCAAGTTGAAAATGATGTCGTAACCAACTGTTCAGGCCGCATCATCCAGGCCAAGCCTCTGAAATTCCGGTACTTATGTGCAATCACATGCAGAAACTCATTCTTAGCCAGGCGTGGCTGATATGTTCCAAAAAGCGTCTTTGTTTTATACTGAACTACCCCCGCATTTAATATTCTTCTTTACTTCCCTCCCATGCAATGACGTTGGTTGTATCAAAACTTTTACATATGAGGGGAAATAAGGAAGACTATATTAAGGCCCATTCACACAACACACATAAAAACGCACAAGTTGTTACAAGTCTGCAAACACGTTGTTACAAGTATGTTCCCAAGCTGTCAATAAGTTGTCTTCGCACCGCTTGTTCCCAGTTGTTGTAACAAGTTTGGATAAAGCTGTCAGCAACTCATTTGTAACAAGCTTGATGGCATTATCAGACTTGTTACACTGATGTTGTTCTGATAAGTCTGATACAGTCGTGATAAACAAGAATGTTACAAGGTTGACGGCACAAGGTTGTAACAATATTGTTATATCATGACTGTATCGGACTTGTTGGAACAACCTTGTAACAAGTCTGATAATATCAACAAGGTTGTTACAAATTGTTAACAGCTTGTTCCAAACTTGTTGACAACTTATGACAAGCAGTGTGAAGACAACTTGTTGACGGCTTGTTGACAAACTTGTTACAAGATGTGAGATTTTTGTGTGTGTACACAACCGTTGCTTAAAAGGCTAAAACTATCGCATGCAACCTGCTTACAACTTGAGTTATACTGTGTAAATCAAGCTGTTACGAAAACGTAGGCGAACTGTGTGCTTGAATCAAGCATAGCACAGGCGCCTACGTTGTCGTAAGTGAATTGTGTGCTTGATTCACACAGTACAACTCAGTTGTAAGCAGGTTGGCATGCGACAGTTTTAGGCAAAAGTTGTGCAGTGGAAATCCGCGGCCTTTAAGGTCATTTTCCATTGCCGGTCGCTTTGCACGGAATGTTTTCGCACTGCTTGCTCCCAGCTTGTTGACAAGTTGTCAATGGCTTGTTGACAACTTGTTACAAGGTTGTTGAGCTCCACAGACTTGTTACAAGTTGTTCCAACAACTTGTTATCGTCTTGCAATTCAAAACTTGTCAACAAGTTGTGAGTGACAACCTTGTAGCAACTTGATAAAATAACAGCATTGTTACAACTTGTTGACAACTTGCTACAAGGTTGTTGAGCTCCACAGACTTGTTACAAGTTGTTCCAACAACTTGTTATCGTCCTACAATTCAACAATTTGTCAACAAGTTGTGAGTGACAATCTTGTAGCAACTTGATAAAATAACAGCATTGTTACAACTTGTTGACAACGTGCTACAAGGTTGTTAAGCTCAACAGACTTGTTACAAGTTGTTCCAACAACTTGTTATCGTCCTACAATTCAACAATTTGTCAACAAGTTGTGAGTGACAATCTTGTAGCAACTTGATAAAATAACAGCATTGTTACAACTTGTTGACAACGTGCTACAAGGTTGTTAAGCTCAACAGACTTGTTACAAGTTGTTCCAACAACTTGTTATCGTCCTACAATTCAACAATTTGTCAACAAGTTGTGAGTGACAATCTTGTAGCAACTTGATAAAATAACAGCATTGTTACAACTTGTTGACAACGTGCTACAAGGTTGTTAAGCTCAACAGACTTGTTACAAGTTGTTCCAACAACTTGTTATCGTCCTACAATTCAACAATTTGTCAACAAGTTGTGAGTGACAATCTTGTAGCAACTTGATAAAATAACAGCATTGTTACAACTTGTTGACAACGTGCTACAAGGTTG